CGGAATCAGATCTCGCATCAAGATTCCCTAAGAGTGCTAATGACAATCCACACAGACAACCAATGACTCTTTCACACTTTTTCAAGCTGCTCGATCGCCAAACAGATCAGGAACCAGCATCAAGGCCCCCTAACAGTGTCATTGGCAATCGGCATCGAGAACGAACGATTGTTTGCCACTTCCTTAACGTGCTCTGTCGAACACCACTAAGTCCCGAATCATTCGTTGTTCAACTACTATCTGTCAACCGGAGAAGGAGGTCCTTCCGGGAAGATAAATGGTGGACACATTTGTTGCAGGGGTACTGACGGGCAACTTGCCAAATGTCGTGCACCAGGCTGGGTGTTCCACCCGATCACAGTTGACAGGTTCAGTCCTTCAACTTGCAAGGTGTCGGGCGCCGGACCCTTGACCTTTTATGGAAAACAGCCTCTGCCCTTTTTTACACTGAGGTGTTAATTCGCATTTGATAACGACTATTCGTGTGCGAAGGGCTCAAATCGCCCCACCGCAACATTTGCCATGTCAACACCTCATATACTGACCATTTATCCTCACTTAAAGTGTCGCATGATGCCCTATTGGGCCATGTACTGAGTGTTTATTCGCAGTCGAAATAGTTCACTTTTTGACAAAAAGTTTATTTTTTACGAAATGTGTATTATACAAATGACAATCCAGCGTCCATATTAAATTACCACGCTGAAGGTTGGTGCACCTGCCTCTCCATCTGAGTGCGAGTACACTCGTACTTAAGTGAGAGTTGACTCGCACGTTGCTTAAGTGATGAGTTTGTGGAGATACAGTACGGGACGTGACGATTGAGTGTTGGCCTCCCCTGAGTTCACTCGCACTTTGCTTGAGTGATGAGCTTGTGGAGATACAGTACGGGACGTCACCACAGAGTGTTGGCCTCACCGGGGGAATTATCATTTGCCAACTTTATTTACGACTGTCAACACGTTCGTATCTGTCGTTTACATGTGCATGATGTGTAGGGTGTCATAATGACGTCGACAACGCCGACAAGCATCAGCATGAGTCCCGAGACGCACAGACGCTTAGTAGAATCTTTTCCTCCTTGTGCGAAATCGGTGCAGCGTCATGACAGTCATACGTGGATCCACGAAGCAACCAGAGAGGACTTCGAAGAGGACCCATGGATGACCGTCGTGCGGTACATCAACCGGCATCTTGACGATTGGAGCGATGACACTTGGAACGCGATGGAGAGTGGTTGCCCTTGGGAAAACCATCACAAGTTTGCCAATATATTAGAGTTCGGGAACCTCATTCCACTGCCTGATGGTGTCCTCGAGCACAAGTTCCTGAACCGTATGCGCAAAAAACTCCACTGCATTAGTCGCTATAGCAGTCACCTCAACTGCGACTACAACAGGTCTTCGCCACGAACTTGGGGAAGGACACGCTGACTCGATCTCGATGTTGCGGCGACAGAAGTAAATGTTCTGAATGGATGTTATGTATCTTTTCCACGCAAAGAAATGACGATATTTTCATCTGGGAATATAAAAAAGACACTCTGATTTCCTTATACATTACACACATAATCTCATGGTGTGCGCAACTATCTCTCCATCTATGTGAGAGTTCACTCGCACTTGTTGTGTCTCATGGTGTGCGCAACTATCTCTCCATCTATGTGAGAGTTCACTCGCACTTGCTGTGTGCACCCCGAGCATTCCACTTAAGTGGTGTGCGCACCTAGCTCTCCATCTAACTGCGACTCGCACTTGTGCTCTGAACCCCGAGCAATCCGCTTAAGTGAATGTCATAATCTATGATACGAATTCATCCATGCAAAGATTTGATGACGTTTTCATCCGGGAATATACAAATGATAAACCAACGTCCGTATTAAATCATCACGCTGATGGTGTGCGCACCTGCCTCTCCACATGAGTGCGAGTTCACTTGCACTTAAGTGAGAGTTCACTCACATTTTGCTTAAGTGAGGAGCTCATGGATATACAGTACAGGGCGTGACGACTGAGTGTTGGCCTCACCAGGGGACTTATCATTTGCCAACTTTATTTACGATGGTCTACCCGTCCGTATGTGTCGTTTATGTGTGCGTGATGTGTAGGGTGCGTAATGTCGTCGAGACCTTCGACAAGCATCAACATGAGTCCGAGACGCATACGCGCTTAGCAAAACCGTTTTCTCCTTGTACGAAATCGGTGCGGCATCATGACGGTCAAACGTGGATCGACGAAGCAACCAAGGAGGACTTCGAAGAGGACCCATGGATGATCGTCGTCCCATACAAGACCCAACATCTTGACGAGTGGAACAATAGTGATTGGAACGCGATGGAGTGTGCCTGCCCTTGGGCAAGCCATTACAAGTTTGCCAATATGTTGGAGTTCGGGAGCCTCATTACACTGCCTGATGGTGTCCTCGAGCCCAAGATCCTGAACCATACGCGTAAATCGATCCACCACCCTAGCAGCTTGAGCGGTCGCCTCAACCGCGAGTACATCACATCTTCGCCACGAACTTGGGGAAGTTCGCAGAAGCAGGAGTTGGTGGACTGCGCTCGTCATTGTTCATTCTTGGAACACTACCCACCCTGTTGCTCAGGGACTTCTCCACAAGCTATGTCATACTATTGTGTGCGGCTGACTACTGACGGATGTCCTTTCGCCAGAGTGCTATGTGTGGCTTCTTCACACAAAAGTAGGAAACTCGTGGATGTAGTTGTGCTTGTATCACGAAACGAGTTGGTGATTCAGAGGTCCAAGTTCAAGGCGTTGATGCATCGCCCCGATGTAGATGGGCGGTCAGATGTGGTGAGAGCAGGTCCGGTCAAAGTTTTATCATTGCGGCATGAAGTGGAAGAGAAAGTGTCCGACATAGAGAATGTGTAGGGAATTCCTTAGCACGACCAAGAGGGTTTGTTAGGATGAAATACATGTCCGTATTTTCGGAGAACGCAACAGTCGAGGAGCCGCAAATCCTCTTATATGGATCATCAATGAATGCTATGTATGACTTTCGTTCAAGACCTCGTCCGCGGGAAACACCGTATGTCACAAGATACGGACGGGTGGTCAGACCTTGTGTTGAAGGGAAAACGAGTGAAAATACAATCTTGTGGAACATGATGTGCATGTGCATGTGCACCGGGAAATGGTGGATATTAAGTAGTAGATAGAGGTGCGAGAGGCAGTAGTTGCAAGTGGACGATATACCGAGTATGTTCGTAATTCTGAAATTGTGATTTTTGAAAAGCCTCTGTGTACTCTGCAATGTATGATTGAATGATTTTTTGCTTTGAATATTTTCTCGAAAACAACCCTTGTGTACTTTGCAATGTGCGGTTCAATTATTTTTTTCATTGAACATTTTCACAACTCTGCGTGCGGTGTACAACTTGACCTTCAGGAAAACACTACGTAACTTGGAAGTGTTTCCATCTCGATGTTGTGATGACCAGAGTAAATGTTATGAATGGATGTTATGTATCTTATCCATGCAAAGAAATGACACGTCGATGTGCTTATACATTACACGTATAAGCTCATGGTGTGCGCACCTAGCTTTCCATCTAAGTGCGAGTTCACTCGCACTTGTTGTGTGCACCCTGAACATTCCACTTAAGTGGTGTGCGCACCTAGCTCTCCATCTAAGTGTGAGTTCACTCTACAATGTGTGAACCCCGAGCAGTCCACTGAAGTGAGAGTTCACTCGCACTTTGCTTCAACTTGACCTTCAATAAGACAACAGGCAACTTGCAAGTGTTTCCCTCTCTCCAATAGTGATTTTGGCAGTGTTTCGATCTCTCATCTCCATGTCATGGGATGCATGGATGTTTTCGATTAAAAAATCATCATGTCAAGGAGGGGATCGATGTTTGCAGTGACAAGAATGAATGTTGCGAGTCTATGTTATCGATTGTCCATGCAAAGATTTGATGACATTTTCATCCCTGAATATGCAAATGACAAGTCGGTGCCCATATGGAATCACCACGCTGATGGTGTGCGCACCTGGCTCTCCATCTAAGTGCACGGTGCGAACCCCGAAAATTTCCCTCACACTTTGCTTTAACTTGACCTTTGCAAAAACAACAGGCAACTTGTAAATGTCCCCATCTCTCCATCTCTCCGACTTTCATAATAGTGACCTTGCAAGTGTTTCGATCTGTAATCTTAATGCCATGGGATGCATGAATGTCTTACAGTCCTAAACATGCTCATGTCAAGGAGGGGATCGATGTTTGCGATGATAAGAGTGAATGTGAGGAATCTATGTTATTGATTTGTCCTGGGTAGCACCCCGTACGCGTAGGCAGTGGGTACGAGTACGTATTTCGGCGTATGCGTACGAACCCAAAATCGCGCGTACGCATACGTAAAAAAACAAAAAAACTCCAAAAAACCTAAAATAAAAGTATGTTGTGCAGAATCATGATACAAACAACATTTGTCTGAAGGTCATACCCAAATTCTGAACCAAGCTAGATTTAAAAATAAAAAACCTTAACAAATTAAAAAAATATTTTTAAATAGTTTTTTAATTATTATAATAATATTACCTTTTTTTAATTTTTAATTTCTTACTCAAGTTTGGTTCGGAATTCGGGGATGAATACTAGGCAAAAGTTGTTTGTATCATATTTCTGCATAACATATATTTTTTATAGAAGTTTGTTTTTATTTTTGTGTGTTTTTTTCTTAGTTTTTTTTTTAATTATTTCAATTTGTTTGTTTTTTGTGCCTTTGATTTTTAACTCGAGTTTGGTACAGAATTTTGAGATGAGTGTCAAGCAAAAGTTGTTTGAAATATCATTTTGCATAACATACTTTTTTTCATATTTTTTCGATGACTTTTTTTTTTTTTTTTTTTTTTTTACGTATTCCCACGTACGGGAGTACGTGTACGCGCGTACGTGTCACGTACAGGAATACGTGTACGAGTGTACGCACAACCCGCGTACACGTACGCAGTGCTACCCAGGATTTGTCCATGCAAATGACAAGCCAGCGTCCATATTGTATCACGTCGCTGATGGTGTGCGTTCATGTTGTCCATCTAAGCGGGAGTTCACTCGGACTTGAGGTGTGTACCCCGAGCAATCCGCTAGAATGATAGTTCACTCGCACTTTACTTATATCCCATTCAGCAGAAACGACCACAAACCTGGCCCTGGTTGCAATTAAACATCAAAGACTGCCCAACAACTGATAAACTGCAGGACCTGGAGTTTAATTATGTTTGTGGAGTGCGAAACTTTGTTGGAAACAGATCCAGGTCCAACAGGAAGGACCACCACAGACCCACAACCCTAGGCCCAGTTGCGATTGAGCATCAAAGACATCCCAACAACTGATTACCTGCGGGATCTGGAGTTCAATTCTGTTAGTGGAGTGCGAAACTCTGCTCGAAACAGATCCAGATCCAAAAGGAAGGCCCACTACAGACCATCAACCCTTGCCCCGGTGGCGGACTTCAGCATCCAAGACTGCCCAACGACTGCTAACCTGCGGCAAGCAATCCACACCGAGCATCAAGGTTCCCTTAGAGTGCATGGCCATCCGCACAAACAGCCAACGACTGTTTGACACTTGTTGAAGGTGCTCACTCACCAAACGGATCCGCGCAGAGAGCCAATGACGGTTTGACACTTCCTTAAGGCACTCTGTCGAAAACCGATATCTGCGAATTGATTCACTGTTCAACTAGTATCTGCCAATGTCTTTCCGTGTTAAAGCAAGGATCTCTCTCTCTCTCTCTCTCTCTCTCTCTCTCTCTCTCTCTCTCTCTCTCCAGCCACACAGACAGCCAACGACTGTTTCGCACTTCCTTAAGGTTCTCTGTCAAACACCGAAAACTGCAAATTGATTCCCTGTTCAACCAGTATCTATCAATGCCTTTCCGGGTTAAAGCTAGGAGCTCGAACCCTCCGCCAAACACGTCTCTCTCTCTCTCTCTCTCTCTCTCTCTCTCTCTCTCTCTCTCTCTCTCTCTCTCTCTCTCTCTC